AGTGTTGCGTAACCTGAGTGACCACAATGTCATGCTACGGTCGAAGTCCGTCCTTGCTCAGTTATGTGCAGCGCAACAGTTGTACACACCAAGACCTGAGAGAAATGTGCCTCAGAAGCAGCCTAATTGCGGAAACCTAACATTTGACCTTCAAGATTCACCAATTTCAGAACAGTGGAGAGAACGCATTACCACCAAACTTAAATCCATCCGTGAAGTCTTCGCTACTAATGATTTGTCATATGGTCATACTACAGCTGTAAAGGCTTAATGATGAAACACCTTTTAAGGAAAGGCCACGACCCATTCATCCCAGTGGCAGGGAGGCTGTCAAGCAACACTTAAAGGAGCTGCTTGATGCTGGAGTCATAAGGGAGTCAGAAAGCCCCTTTTCTTCCCCAATAGTTTTGGTGCGTAAAAAAGATGGGTCAATAAGATTGTGCATAGACTATCGCAAATTAAATGCACGCACTATCAGGGATGCTTATAGACTACCGACTATCGAGGAGACCTTCACAGCCCTCAGTGAAGCGAAGTGGTTCTCAGTAATGGACTTGAAATCTGGATATTACCAGGTTGAAATGGCTGAAGAAGATAAGCCAAAAACAGCATTTGTGTGTCCTCTGGGATTCTTTGAATTCAACCGTATGCCACAAGGTGTCACAAATGCACCAAGCACATTTCAGCGGTTAATGGAGAAGTGTGTCGGAGATCTAAACCTAACAGAAGTGCTGGTATTTTTAGATGATCTGATTGTGTTTTCTGACACACTGGAAGAACATGAAGCAAGGCTTATGAAAGTTCTGAACCACTTGAAAGATTTTGGATTGAAGCTATCTCCAGAGAAGTGTCATTTTTTCAAAACTTCAGTGAAGTATCTTGGTCATTTGGTCGATGCCCAAGGGGTTCACACTGACCCAGAGAAAGTTTCAGCCCTGAAGACCTGGCCTCGCCCAACAAACCGGAAAGAGCTTAAATGTTTTTTAGGGTTTGCTGGGTATTACCGCCGGTTTGTTAAGGAGTATTCACAAATTGCCAAGCCTCTGAACAACCTGACTGCTGGGTACTGCCCACCAAAGAAAAGGGGTAAAGTTTACCATAGAGAACATTCAAAAACCCCAGCTCCGAATTTTAATGTGCCCCTTGCTGATGAATGGACCTCAGAATGCGACAAAGCTTTCCAGACCTTGATAGAGAAGTTGACAACTGCGCCTGTACTTGCTTTTGCCAGTCCATCACTGCCATATATCTTACACACTGATGCTTGTTGTGATGGGTTGGGTGCAGCGCTCTATCAAGAGCAAGATGGGCAGTTAAGAGTCATTGCCTATGCCAGTCGTGGCCTCTCCAAAAGTGAACGAAACTATCCCACACACAAACTGGAATTTTTAGCTCTCAAGTGGGCTATTTGTGAAAAGTTTAATGACTATCTGTATGGTTCCAGTTTCACTGTATTCACAGACAACAACCCCCTTACATATGTCTTGACATCAGCTAAGTTGGATGCTGCTGGACACCGTTGGTTAGCCGCTTTGTCCACTTACCAGTTCAGTATCAAGTACAGAGCAGGGCAGGCTAATCGTGATGCTGATGGGTTGTCCCGCCGACCGCAAGAACCACCCTGTGAGGATGAGGACTACATAAAGGAGAAGAGCAGAGTAGACGACATGAAAAAACATCTTCAGGAAGTAAGTGCTGATGTTGATCATGAAATGATCTCTGCATTGTGTCAGCGTCACCTTGTGAACTACCAGGACAGACATGATTCAGACATTGGACAAGTTTTGACGGTCGAGTCTCTAATCATAGAGCCCTCAACTCTTTCTGAAATATTTTGTGAAGACACCCTTCAATCAATGACAATCTCTGATTGGCGTGAAGCCCAAAGACGTGATCCCTCCCTTTGTCATGTCATTACTCTCCTTGAGAAGGCAAGCAAACCCAGTCTAGCTGACATCACTTCTGAACCTGTTGATGTCAAACTCCTCCTGAGGGAATGGAAAAGGTTGGAGTTAAGAGATGGGGTGCTTTACAGGAAGTGGATGGATAAGGGACATGAGGTTGCACAGTTGGTCCTTCCTGAATGTTTTAGAGAAAGGGCTATGTACGGTCTCCACGACGAAGTGGGCCATCTTGGGGTTGAGCGAGTTTTACATCTTGCTCGTGCCAGATTCTACTGGCCCAGAATGGCAAAGTCAATTGAAGAAAAGTGCCGGAATTGCCCACGCTGTTTCAGGAGGAAGGCCGTACCACAAAGGGCTGCTCCATTGACAAATATTTCGTCGACTTATCCACTTGATCTTGTCTGCATGGATTACTTGTCACTAGAACCAGACAGTCATGGTACAAGAAACATATTGGTTATCACCGACCACTTCACCAAGTTTGCTGTGGCAGTGCCTACAAAAGACCAAAAGGCAAGAACCATTGCAAAAGCTCTGTGGGAAAATTTCATTGTCTGCTACGGTTTCCCTAGTCGCTTACTGAGTGATCAAGGTAGGGATTTTGAATCCAAGATGATTAAAGAGCTATGTGCAATGATGGGGGCTAACAAGATCCGTACCACTCCATACCACCCCCGTGGAAATCCGGTGGAACGGTTTAACCGGACACTCTTGGACATGCTTGGTACTTTAGAAGAGAGAGACAAATACCATTGGAGGGATTTTGTCAAACCATTGGTCCAAGCATATAACTGCACGAGAAATGACACTACGGGGTATTCCCCTTATGAATTGATGTTTGGCAGACAGCCAAGACTGCCCATTGATATAATTTTGGGGATACAACCTGAAAAGACAAGTCACAAGACTCAGAGTGAATATGTTGAGAATCTCCGTCAACGGCTGCAAGAAAGCTATTCTTTAGCTGCAGAAAAATCTCAGAAAATGGGCCAAAAGAATAAAACAAGGTTTGACAAGAGAGTCAGAGCAGCTGAACTCATTGCAGGTGACAGAGTTTTGGTCAGGAACGTTAATATAAGAGGAAAGCACAAACTCTCAGACAAATGGGAACATGATATTCATGTTGTGGTCAGAAGAATCAAAGACAGTCCGGTCTATGTGGTGGAAGCAGAGTCAAGAAGAGGACCACAACGCACCTTGCATCGAGACCTCCTCTTACCATGTGGATTCTTACCCGTGGAAGAAATAATTGAACATGGGATTCATGAAAAGGAAGGAAAAAAAATGAAACTGAGAAGCAAAGATCTGAGACAGATGCAAAATCACCAAGAAGGTGACCCAGACAACAGTGAGGATGAAGTGAGTGATCAGGATGAACTGAACTCCAGCCTGCTGATTCCAGAGATTATTACTAGGGGTCCTTATATATCAACTAATAAGGATGTTGTACCTCCGTCACGCACCTGTGACACAGACCCCAGTGCTTTTGGTGTCATTTCGCATACCTCTGTGTCTGATCGTGAGATGTCAAATAGGAATGAGAAAAGGCAAATCTCACCTTGTCATGTGGATGATGACGGGCAGTTTCTGCCTAATAGATCCCCTTGTGTGGATAAAGACTATGTTGTCATTGACATTCCCACAGAACCGACATCTGCATCAGCTGACAGTAATTACGCAGCAGATGTCAATGCTGAGCAAATCCTAGATGGCTCAGAGCCTGTCACTTGTGACTTGCCATCATGCGACCTGAGACGTTCCAGTAGAGACAGACACCCACCTCAGAGACTCACATATAATCAGTTGGGTGAACCCTTGATCCAAGCAATTAGTTTATTTCTCCGAGGTTTTGTTGCTGCATTGTGCCGTGAAGTCCCTTTATCCATAGCAACGCATGAAGGGACCCATGCCATCTAGAGGGGGAGAATGTAACCCAGGTTATCTTCCAGGGTTATTGAGCCTAAATTCCTTTAAAAAATTCTCCATTGTTAGGAACCGTTTTTCGTTAGTATTAAAAATTACGAGGGTTACTTGAACGCAGCATGGAGCCGAGCTGCGCAGCCCTCCCCACACCGGAGAAAAAAAACGTTTTTGTCCGTTAGGCTGAACAGGTGAGCAGAAGTTCAGCTAACTGCCGTCAGCAAAGTAATAGGTGACTGGAAGCTTCTAGAAATGTAAGGTTCATCACTTAAGAAGGGTTTAAGATTATTTGTGAGAAGTTTTTATTGAAACAAAAGTGTTTTATGATTATAGAGTGTGTTCGCTACTGAAGGAGGAGCCGTTAGAAGTTGACCTCGATTTGTTTTTTGAAGAAACCCTTTGGTGAGTTAATCTAATGTTTCATGGACTGAATGTATATGTAGATGTGAAACAAAGTAGAAAAAAACGTTGATGTAAACTATGCAAAGCTATGTTCTGTGAAATATATGTATGTTTTTGAGCATTTGTGACGGTCTCGTGTAGCCACATTTTTAAGCCACCCGGCTAGCTGTTAGCTCAGTTTCTGTGAGTAGATGTGTTAAACTGTTGAGAAAATGAATTGTACACAAATTTCCTGTTAAGATAAGGTGATTTGTTTTGCTTTTATATTAATTTTGTTAATGAAATCTACTTTTCCAAGTATAGTTATTTTGTGAGTTTGGAAGATAATAGAAAACATACAGTGACATTATTATAATTTTGTTGCATATGTTTTATGCAGGCTTGTTGATTGAGGTTTAAATCACCTTTTCCTGCCTGGAAAGCCAACACATTTAAAGACTCAGATGCACTGCTTTGGTCCACTGGAGAGGTATTAATACTCATGGGTGCCACATCCATGGCAGGATATCTTCATCATATCCTGTCTCATCAAAGATGTGGTAGGATCATTTAAGACCTCTACACGACTCAAAGGACTAAGGTTTTTTCCTTTCCTGAGTGAGGGTTTGGACACTTTTTTTGGCAACTTTCCAACATTTTAGTGGACTGAATTACCAATTTGCCCAAAAGCAAGAAGACTATGTGACATAGTCCTGAACACTTTGTTAAAGGACAATTGGTTTTATTTATTTATTTATTTATTTATTTATTTATTTGTTTGTTTATATCTATTTATTGATTGTTCAATTTTTATCATTCCTCTAAGAGCCCTCTAGGAGAGGGAATTTATTATTTATTTCCTTTATGATGAATATTACAAACTGTTACATACTTCAATATATTTAGTTTATTGAATTGATTGTTGCGTGTGTGGTTTGTGGGTTGGAGGTTTCAAACTTCAGGTAATGAGATACTACTGCTAAGAACCCAGAAATAGAGTTCAAAGGAACAAAAAGCAAGAAACCTTAGTAAATAAGACACATTTGATCCTGTAGCTCCCACAACACTTTAACCTTGAAGGAGTATTCCACGCTGATATATTTGAATACACATACTCAGTTTTTTCAGGGAGCCACAGGTTACAAAAGCAAAAAATATACATATATGCAATATGTTTTGTACTGTACACGGGGTCCTGGCAGAAACCACGAGTCGTTGAATAATTCCAGAGGCCCTGAGGACTCAGTTGAGGAAGGAAAGGTTAGTTCCCAGGCAGAGGCATCAGTAGTGATGAAAGGCAACCCCCCACACCTGAGAATAGTCAAAGGTACTCCCAGCTCAAAGTAATAATTCCAAACAGACAATAATAATTCCACTTAGCGTAATCCTTAGGCAGTAAGCAGACGAGCAGGGAACAAACCAGTTCCCAGGCAAACCGTAGAACTCCAGCAGCCATGGCAGGAACCAAAGGACGTCCAGACCCAAAGGAACCGGAACCACAAGCAGCAGGCAGTAGAATCAGGTGATGAAGCAGAGAGGTTTTCCCAGGGAGCGAGAACCACTGACGAAACAGCAGAGGAGAGAGCACACACACAGGACACTTGAATGTAGACACACATAGATTACATCTGATGTAAAATGACAAATAAAAAGAAACCTAGCACTATATGTACCTACATGTGCTATGTGAAGCAGATTATGTGAACAGAGTTCAGGTGAAAGAAATGGATGCAGTAAACTACGTGTGCTGGAAAAGTGTTGCTAAAAGAACACAATTAACAAAACCCTCTAATATATGTAAGGGAAAATGAACACTTATGAGCAAAAATGTTATCAAAAGAGAAGGGCAAAATAATCTGTAGCCCGTAAGTGATCAAAATTTAAATAAAGGAGATCATAATAGATATGTCATAAATAAATCAGCTGTAAGGGAATAATGCAGAAATGTATATATATGAATATATTTTTAAAAGAAGTAATAAACTAAAGAAGAAAAAAAACACTAGGATGTAAATCAGTGTTGTTAGTAATGAAACCTAAATTGTGGTTCTCGGATTTTAACAAGACACAAGAGAATTAGACAAGCTTGTCCATAAAACAGCGCAGGGCTTCATTTTTACAGTGTTATACAACCAAGGTTGTCTGGGACAGCAAGATGCTCAGCTTTCAGCAGCACCTCCTCGTAAAGCCTTCCCTCACATCAAAATGAGAGACCATTTGTACACTTTGCTGACGTCATGTCAGGATCTGGGGTGAGTCTGCACATTCATCTAATCGCCTTAAGTCGTTGCAGGTGGGCAGCTCCGGAGAGCGGCCAGCTGCGGTGATTTTCCTCATTGACTACCTGTGTTTATAAGGAGCTGGAGATCACTTCACCTCGCCGGAAGATTACTCACTTTGGGTAGCTCTTGCCACTATAGTAAAACTACAGCTTTAGTCTTGCCTTATATTTGTCCGTCGTCGTTGTTGTTTTTGATGACCTCTGCCTTCCCTTCACCAGGAATTCTCACCACGAACCTACTCTACAATAACCTGGTTTTCATCTCCAAGCCTGATCTCCCTCCTCACCCGAACGGACCCGCTCTCCCTCTGCTCACCTCCCTTGGATTTTGGATTCTCACTGACGTTGCTCACCCCAGTCCTGGCTACCCTCCCAAGCTCTGGATTTCAGTCCCCACAGTAAGATCCACTACAAACTGAGTCCTGCAAATTCTATTCCCCGCTGCCCAACCCTGATAGTGTTTGTCTCAACAGACCCAGCCCCGGAGCTGTGCTCAACATCACCGCCACGTCTGGCGGTGCACCTTTAGTTCTCCTTCAAAATAAAACATTTATTTTTTTTCCTACCTACATCTCCTAGTGTGAATTCTGCATGTCTTGGGTCAGGAAACTCCCCTCAGTAATGACACGTCAGTCTTAGATACCTCAGGAAACAAGTCTTTCAAAATTGAAACTGTTTGGGAGTCTCCCCTTTTCCCAGCAAAACCTACAAAACAGGATGCATCTGCTGCTCTTGACTTTCAGATAAACATTCAGATAAATGTTATTCGTGCTGGAACTGATCTAATACTTTTTCGCTGGAAAACATGTGGACATGCAGCACTTCACGTTTTGGTTCACATCTGCTTGCTGTTGACTTCAGATGAACATTGGCCTTACTAGAAATGATACAAACTTGACTGAAAACAGGACGTAGCGCATCACGTATGTAAACACAGCTTTTAGCTCCCACAATATGTGAATCTACCACAGTAGGAATCAGTGATTAATAAATTAAACTGAAGCATAAAATGAACTTAAATCAGTCAAAAAACATAAAAATTGAAAACATTTTCAAAATCACTAGGAATTGAAAAATAAAAGAAAATGGAATTTGGATTAAACATAACAGTTAGTGGAGTTACTCACTGTTAACTGTTATGAACTCAGTCATCTAACTATGGAAACCCACAGCATGACTTCAACAAAGTCAACCAAGTCTGTATGTTTAGAACTCGTGACTAAAATCACAGAACCGAGCGAGAGTGGACGGAAAATCCCCCCCCCCCCTTTCGGTTTGATTAGAGTTGGGTTATCAGATTTATGGGTTGTAATATAATCCAAATTAGTGGAACCCTTGTGTGGTTTGACTTGGTTCCTGTGGACCCACTTATAGACGGGATCTTTGTTTCCTTTGGTGATCTTGATCTGATACACGACCGGAGAGAGTTTTTCAGTTATCAGGAACGGACCTGACCATTTCGGCAAAAGTTTATTAGCCAGTTTACCAGAGGTGACTTTTGTGTGACCGGAGTTAGGAGCAAAGATGGAGAACCAGGCCTCATCACTTATGTTGAGTTCAGAATGTGAGGTCTTCTGATCATAATAAGCCTTCCTGCCCTCAGCCGATTTCTTCAGATTTGTCTGTGCAAAAGAAAACGCTGCAGGCAGATGGTTCTTCAGGTCCTGCAAATACTGCTCACTAGTGTAAGCCGGAGCGGCACTGGACTGAACTGACCCCATCTGGCCATGCTTCCCCGCTGCCATGAGCTGCTGGTCCGCCACCTTCTCCGAGCCTGCTAAGTTCAGAGCACCAATTTCCACACATGCACCCATTACCAAAGTCGAGGTCTTCACTGACCTGGGCTGGCCAACCGTTCCTCCAATGGAGCTGGACTTGGCCTCGCTGCTTTGCGCCAAGAACCACCTCGCTGGCCAGCGAGCAGTTCCCGCTTCTAAGCATGCCCATCTACTGGCATGGCTCACCGATCGCGCACACCAGTGCGCCTTCCAGACTGGCGCTGCAGGAAATAATGTCACCCTTCTTGCCTTTGGCGTCTCCAAAATGGTGGAAGAGCTTGACGCTCCTGACGATTCGAAAACCATCATTACCAAAATTGCTGATGCCATTCTCAATCTGTGTGCTGCTGTACTCACCGGTTCTGCTCGCATTGCTGCCTGGCAGACCCTTATCCAGCTGGCCTTGTGGCTCAAGGCCCTGCCCTCCATTTCCGAACACCTGCACAGAGAGTTGCTGGAAGGCCCCATTACCTCTGACGTTCTGTTTGGTCCCCATCTTAGGAGCACCATCGAGAGGGCTCAGAAGACAGCTGAACTGTCAGCCACAGTGCGAGACCTGGTCCACCCCCAGTCTGCCTCTGACTCCGGTCGTTCCTCCAGAGGATGGGACGAACGGCGCGGAAACTTCAGACGCCCAGCTGCACTGCCCAGCCCATGGAGCCAGCCTCCCGCTTCAGTTCCACCTCAGCAGGAGCAAAGAGTTGGCAGCCAACGGTTTCAAAAGGGCCAGCAGACACCGTCTTGGCCGTCACAGTCGCAAGAACCTTGCCGAAAGCAACCACGAAAATGACTCGTTGGGGGGAATGTGTGTGTTTCTGACTGTAATGTTAACTCTGTGAATGATTTTGGTTTTGAAATAAAACCCAAAAAACGTCACATTGAGAGCACAATTCTAAGGTCCTCTGCAGAATCTTCTGCCGAATCCTCACACATGTTTCCCACACCAAGCACTGCAACACACCTGCATGTTCACGCAGTCAGTCATATAACACGCCCACAGCCAGCTGTAAGGGTGCTCTCCATTTGCGCACCGGCCCGAGCTTCCAGCCAGGCCCAACACATCCCGCTCCCCCCACAACGTAGGGTGGGGCAGGATGTCATGGCGCTATCGCGACCTTGCGCGGCTCCATCTGCTGGCACTTTGTCGTCCCCGTGCATGGTTCTGGCTCCCACTAGTCCTTTATCTTTGGACACCACGCTCCGCGGTGCGGATCACCTCTTCCAGCTGTTTCACACTCGCCCTTTCGAGCGCAGCCCTCCCTGGGTCGCTCCCAGTTCTCTGGTGCGAGCGACGGTGGTAAGGGCACAAACCCAGTCCTCAGATGTCGTTCACGTGACCTCGAACACGCGTCAGCTGTCGGAAAGTGCGCAAGAATGGCGCTGCCTTTGTCTCATGAGCAAATGGATATCGGACACCATTCATAACGGTCACACACTCCATTTTCAGTCCACTCCTCCTCCCTTCAACGGGATCATGGAGACAACGTTCACATCACAGGAACAATCTCAGGCCCTAGAAATGGAGCTACGGGAACTTCTGTCCAAGGACACCATTTCCCAAGTTCCTCGCGGGCAACAGCTCTCGGGCTTCTACTCCCGCTACTTTGTAGTACCGAAGAAGTCAGGAGGAATGAGACCAATTCTCGACCTTTCCCTGTTCAACTGCTCCATAGCAGTGATGCATTTCTGCATGTTAACAATGAGGCAAGTCCTAGAATACGGGCGCTCCGGGGACTGGTTCACGTCGATAGACCTGAAAGACGCATACTTCCACATTCCAGTAATTCCCAAACACTGGAATTTCCTGCGCTTTTCATTCAAGGGAGTTCAATACCAATTCAATCGTCTCCCTTTCGGCTACTTGCTAGCCCCACGCACCTTCTCCAAATGTCTGGAGACAGCTCTGCAGCCATTGCGCA